TAGAGTAGTAGTAGTAGTACGTAGTAGTAGTAGTAGTAGTAGTAGTAGTAGTAGTAGTAGTAGTAGTAGAGAGTAGAGTAGAGAGAGAGAGAGAGAGAGAGAGAGAGAGAGAGAGAGAAGAAGAAGAAGAAGAAGAAGAAGAAGAAGAAGAAGAAGAAGAAGAGAGAGAGAGAGAGAGAGAGAGAGAGAGAGAGAGAGAGTATTTGAAGTTCGAATGGGAGGGAACCAGGGGCCTGGCGCCCGTGAACTATGCCACGTGCCAGTGTGTGACTGACACGCACGGTGTGTTAAATTTGTGGGACCGCTATGATGACGTGGAATGGCGTGGACCCATTTGATTGGTGCTTCCGACGCGTGGCAGCAAGTGTGGAGACAAATGGCGCTCTTCGACGCATGTCCTGTTTGCAAAAAGACAAAATTGTCCTTTGTTTAAGGGAAGGCGGTTTTTTCAATGTTTTTCAGGATGAAGTAAACTGCATAATGTTGGTAATACACCTGAGGTATTTTTTTAGCATATATATATATATATATTTTTAGCAATTATTTGGATCGACATTTTTTGATAAATTTTTTTTTTTTAGCATTTATTAGGAGTAGTTAAGGGTGCGTATAGCAGTCAAAATTACTGATCTAACTAGTTGGATTATATTTTTTAAATAATTAAAATAATATTAATTGTGTATCTAACCACTGGTCTAACCAAGTGTTTTGTGCGGGGATACCATTTCTCTACGCATTACGGATGAGAAAAAATGCTAGTCTTGCATTAAAACAAAACTAATGGTCAATATTTTTTCTTCAAATAATGCTATTTTTAAATTTTAAAAATTAATATTTTTTGCATAGTAATGCACCACATATTAGAGATTAGATATTCCTAAAAAAGTAAGCTCAAAATCCATGTAAATTATGGATTTTAGAGAAAGGGAGGATATCTACATATAAATCAGCCAATTAATAAAAACCAAATAAATGGAGCATAAAAACCATATCCTAGTTTTAAAATATAAAAAATATTTAAAATGTTGTCCAACTTCATTATTCAAGTCGAACTAGTTAATAACGGTTGGTTTGACCGGCAATAGATTAGTTAAACATTGGTTTTAATAAGTTTTCAACCGAACCTGATTTTTACTTTAAACCACTAGTTCGGTGGAGTCTATAACTATGCTTTAGAGGGATTTGTTTGCAAAACAATACAGCCACATTTATGTTTTTATTGAAATTTATCAAAGTATTTATTAAAGAAGGGGAAATACAATATTTTGCACATTTGCATGTCAAGACCTTATATTTGTTGCATGTATTTTTACATTTATACATTTTGAGGTCGAAATTATGATTTTTCGTCATTGAAACAACCTCGTTTATTGAATTTTTTAGGTGTGCCTTACTTCGATTGTTTAGAGCCTCCACCTTATATAAATTTTTGTTTTTTGAAATGTAATTTTCTTATTTTTTTTTATGTCTTTTCTTATTTGCAATATGTATAGCAAATCTGTGTCCATTTAATGACACTTTTACAACTATCCATTTTGAAATTGATAGGATAATAATGATTCTGACCTCCATGTACAACAAGATAAATGGTATTTTTGTAGATAATCCCTATTAAATTAGATAACTTAAATTATATGAAAGATTGAGACAGGAGTCCCATGGCGAATCTAATAATTGACTGGTGTTAAAGATAGACATATATATTTATTAAATATGCTCGTGGACGCTAAAATTCAAATGGTGGGAAAATAGTTGCAAATTCAAGAGCAAAAGTTGCATTTATTCACGATTGATAATATAATTTTTTTGGGAAGTTTTTTCTTCATTATTTTTCTATTTCGTCATTGTTACTCATATTCGTTTGTTTCAATTGTTTTCCAAAAATACAATTGCACTAGATTTCGTGCGACTTGAAAATGCCATTCAATATATCAAAACCGGCATTCTATATTTTCAATATATCAAATGCCATTCAATTATTCTATTGAAGTAAGGTGCACCTCAAAGTGCATTTCGAAGAGAGAGTTCCAATGTTAGAAAAAGCCTCTAATTTGGTTATTTCAATCTCAAGGTGTATGGATTTGAAGAAAAGAAGAATTTCAAACCCTAAAATTATTATAATTGTAACAAATTATATAGACCGTCTATTTTTAAGTTTTATAATGTTTATATATTTGCTTGATATGTACATTGATAAGAATTTCAAATTTTGAAACTAAGGATAAAATAGATTTTCAAACCATCATAAGGTTTTGAGTACCAGGATTACATCCTCAAACAAATTTTAAATGTACGCATTACTTCCACGCTAATAAGTAAAGGACCTTATACATAACCTAATTTTCATTATTAAATATTTATCTTACTCCAAGGGGGTGGAAATGTTGTATAAAATGAAAAAGTTCATATAAGGGTGAGGCCCAAAACAATCAAATTGAGGCGCACGTAAAAAAATTCACCAGATGGGGTTGTTTCGATATTGAAAGACCCCCAATTTAATCATCTCAACCTCAATATGTATGGATGTGAGAAAAATTAGATTTCAAGTCTTGTAAATAATACATCTTGTAATGTATTATCTCGACCATCAATTTTCAAGATTTTCAAGTTTTCATAGATCTACTCAATCTAAACTATTTTTTCATATTTAAATTTTATAATTAGAGACGGAAATAAAATTTCTGGCCATCATAAAGATTTTCGATACTAAAACAACATATTTTGATATTATTTGAAGGTACGCTCTAATTTGATTGTTTAGGGCCTCAGCCTTATACAAACTACACCCTACATAAAATAGGTCCAGCAACTTGAAACGAAATATAGTTCCGTCTTCCACTTTATGTGGTTGGCCTTTCTTCTGTCATGGTGCATAAAGTTTAAGTACAACTAAGCTAAGTCATCAATGGCATCACATTGTCCAAAAGCATAAATCCAGCTAACATGGCCAAAACCCTAGAATTCATGTGCTTCATTTCATTAAATGGTAATATTCCACATTTTAACTCTTGGCCAATACCCTAGAATTCATGTGCTTCATTTCATTCAATGGTAACATTCCACATCTTAACTCTTAATTGTTAATACCATTTTTTTTTGTTAAAACCCACTGTTACTTAAGACCAAACTTGCTGTAATATGCGGGGATAGGGTTTGAGGCCTTGATTGGTCAATATTTGACAATTGCAATGATATGATTCAAGCTCAATTCCTAGTTGAACTGCCCAAAATGCATATTTATAGGTTAATTTACAGTAATAATTTACAGAAATAGATAAATACATGCTTTCTATATTTGCATTTCATTGTAAAAAATTGTTTGATTTGGTACATTTTGTAACAATTGTATATGATGAGACTGTTTGTAGAAGGTACAAGAATGTCATAATCATATGCGAAATCTCTAAATGTTTTAAAGCATTGTGTTGACCATGCTCCAAATAATATTTTTCTCAAACTTTATGAACTGCATACCAACTAGATCATAAATCGAAAATGAGGCTTGTTGAGTTAGGGACTAGTTTTTTTTTCTTGGGTATTTCAATGGAAAAGACAATGCCCCTACTTGTTTTTTCAAATAGTTTAGGAGTTAGTTTTTTGAAGGTGTTAAAAGGGTGATATAAATGAGTATGAGAACTACAGCGTGGTGACTATGTTGGGTTTATGTGGCCTTTAAATGCCTTATGAGTGTGTAATGAAAAACATTTATTATAGTGGAACATAAACTCAATAAGAGTGTGGTCCCTCGAGGACCATGCTAAGTAAATGATGTTTGCTGATACAGTACTGTACTTGATGATCGAGGTCAATCGGTTGAAAAACCCAAGATACCTGGGCATAAAAAATAAACCAATAAGGGTATTTGGATTAGCCCTTGATGAGGTCAGAGCATATGCCTAGATGAGTGAGCCGAAGAACTGTGTGACTTTTGTGTGTGATGGTAGGCCTACGAGGGCAAAAACCGCATCCACTTTCCATCACACGGCATGCATATAGATAGATCATTCGGAAAAACCAGATATCCACCTTTGGGTGAAGCATGTGCATGTGCATGTGCGAGAGATACCTCTGTGTGCCATAGAGTTGTGGTCGCATCAGGTCATGGTTACCTTGACTTGTCTCTAGGGGAGGACATGTAATCCACATACTGGGATTGCGACTCCTTGGTTCATCGACTAGACTTTGGTGACCCGCTAATGAGTCCCTTATTGGACTGTAGGTCATGAAAAATACTAGGTCGGTTTGATAAAGCAAGTATGGTCTGTAGTTCACAGTTGAAGATGAAGTACCTCGTGATCGTTGATAGAATTCTTGAACCATATGGATCCACTTCCCATCATATTAATTTAATTGTGTTTATTTTATTATATAAATTATTTTAGATTTATTATTTAAGTTTTTATGAATATTTAAATATTTTATTTATAATTTTTGGAATTATAAATACGAAGTTATTGATTTTACAAATTATATAAAATTCAAATAATGTTTAAATAAAATTTTAAAATATTTATAAAATTTTCATGGGGGCCCATAGTGCACATGGGCCCACCATATGGCAAATGGGTGGTGGCCCACATATGCCACATATGGATGGCACACCCCACCCATTGCTCCCTTTTGTTATTACTTTGATATCAAGTTTTGTAATTTTTAGAAAGTCCATCTTATAAGCATATGGTCAAATATTGTTTGGGAAATATTGACCATATCTTATCTTGATTATTGAAAGTATATATTGACTTTAAATTATTAAAATATTCTTATGGAAAATATGAGATAGATTATGTAATTTTATGGAATGCATGATATTTTAATAGATTTA